GCCAGAGTGTGTGGTAGCACATGCAAAGCGAATGAATCGTCATCAGGGTCGTGTCATTTTTGGTGCCTGCATTCAGCGGTATTACTAAACACCCACAGAGAGTCGGTGTCAAGTGACCGGCCGATGCCAGTGAGATTTCTGTCCGCCATTTTGAAAAAAAAAGCAGAGGAGCCCTGGGATCAAGGTCCACCTTCATGCAAAACATGTGCAAACAGAGGAATATCAGCTAACAGTTATCCTGTTAATATCAGTTATCAGCTAAAAAAAACCGAAATTCTCAGTTAACAGTTATTATTTTAGCTGTTTCTCAGTTAACAGTTAACCCCATTTAGACCCTGGTATAGGTAAATGATAAAAGGTAAAAGAAGCCCGAAAGTTATGAGTCGAACATCAAATAACCGATTTGGCATTTTGCAGATGGTGATTCACCTTAAAGCTACATTCTAGGTAGGTTAACTAACTAATTTATTAATGAAAAAAGCTAATAATAACAACAAGTCCTTAGCCAAGGACGTTAAGGCGGAGGTTATCCCATTTCTCTAATACACATGCATCACAATGATGTACTTGATAGTTACCTGATAAATGAAAATAAAGGACACAATCACCGCAGACAGAAACTGAGTGGAAAACTTAAAATCTGAAATAGAAATATACACTATTCTAAGCACTAACAATAATGTCGAGTATTTGCATAACAATAGATATCCCATCATGCACCACCCTGCATATATTAACCCACGCGCTCTCTTTTGTGCCACTATCATCTACGACGCCGTCAAGGGTAGAGCGAATTTTTTGATCAAAAGACTGGCTTCGCGACGCGTCATGGCTAACAATGAAGATAGGCAGCGCCCAGCACCGGCCGGTGTTCCGGTCCCAGCTCCAGCAGACCCACCGGAACCTCAAGGTCAAAATGCAGAAGAGAATGCTCCAGTTGCAGAACAGCCCTTAGAGGTATATATATTTACTTTTCATAGTTACGTTCCCCATCGCTACTCTTCGCTTCTGCTTACAATGTATGAGCCAGGTTGGAAGTCTACCGCTCAAGTTTCAAGTGAAATTATATCCCTAAAAAAAGTGATTTACCCGAGCCGGGTTGGAAGTCTACCGCGCAAGTTTGTGTGAAATTATACCCCTAAAAGTGAGTTACCCGAGCCGGGTTGGAAGTCTACCGCTCAAGTTTGTAAAATTATATCCCTAAAAAAGTGATTTACCCGAGCCGGGTTGGAAGTCTAGCGCTGAAGTTTGTAAAATTATATCCCTAAAAGTGAGTTACCCGAGCCAGGTTGGAAGTCTACCGCTCAAGTTTGTAAAATTATATCTCTAAGAAGTGATTTACCCGAGCCAGGTTGGAAGTCTACCGTTCAAGTTTGTGAAAATTATATTCCCCTAAAAAGTGATTCCACCGCCCAAAGGTCATGTAGAGTTGTCCTAAAAACTGGTCATTTTCTGTTCTTCCACATTTCCTACAATTATTTCGTGTTTCAAGGCCTGAGGCCAATTTGCATATCAGTTTTAAACAKTATCCGGCTCCTACTTGATTTAGTTGTTCATGGGCAGGTTTTTACAATTGTTTTTAGTCCCGCTAGATTGACCAGTAAGTGTAAAACAGTACGTTTTGATTGAGTCTATTTGTCTGGTCATTCCCTGAGGTACCCCGTAATTACTTGTTGTTTTACATTAGTCCAAGCAATGAAAATGCCGTTTCCTTGGCTTTGGTTATTGTATCCCAGGGGACACAATGTTTTAGCACAACATGCTCTAGTTCAAAATAATATTTTCCTGTACGAGATGTAAAGACTACCTTTTAGAACCGCCGGACTCTGAAGTTTTTTCCCGTTGAAGTTGCCTAACCCCACGGATTTATTTGTGTTGTTCCTAGAATGCGCAACAGACACTTGAGCAGAGAATAAAACAGCTCGAAGATCTCGGAAAAGCTAACTCAGTGGCTTTAGCACTTCAAACCCTGCGTAGGACGTTGGATCGATCCAAATTTGATGTGGAGGACGCGATTGCGGACCTTGAAGCCCTTGTTAGGCAAGCAAAAACCACGGAAGACCCCAAGGCTAGAGAATATGAATGTATCCTTGACGAGGTTCACAAGCACGCGAAGACGTTGCCGCGCCATGCACTCAAGGACCTGTTTGTCGCCCTGGTGGGAGACCCAGTAAAAAGCAAAGTGCTAGCAAAATMCACAAAAGTTCTAAAAGGCCTAAAGTCCTACAGTGAAAAACCTGTGCCTCTGATGGGGTCGCTTCAATATCAGCCGTACAGCTCCTTTCAGCGATCCAGTCAGCCACGCCGCGATTTCTCTCCATATCGTAGGCCAGGGCAGCGACAAAATATGAGGCGACTTACGTGCTTCTACTGTGATTCCAATCAGCATCTTATCAGAGATTGTCCCGTAAAGAGAAAAATGTGAAGTGATGAATGAAAGAGAATGTGTTTTCTGTCATGCTCACCCGGATGTGATTAATAAAATATAGTGTGTAACTTAAAATTTGTTCTTGATTTCTAGTGCATTTCTTTATTAGTATAGCTCAATTATGCATTTCGGTTCCCTCCACAACCTATAATGTCTACCAAATTCTTTTCATATATATGGCTTAGCACGCTTTTCAGTATGACATGATAAATAATGCCCAAAGCACATGCAATCCATTTGGCTCTTCCTGTTAGTGATCGATGAATATATATAACGTTATGCTATGAATACTGATTATAATCTCCATAAAAATCCAAAAAATGCATAATGCCCGTTTTTGTTTTGTTTTCACTCGTATATGATCCGGTCCTGGGAGGTTGGGTGTTGGCTTGAAACAGGGGAA